AAGAAATGCTGCTGGAGGCCATAAAAATCATGCCAACCTAAGTAAACTCATTATCAGCATTCATAATCCTTAAAACCTTGTAGGGGAAGCCACATACAGTTACAACTGAGGGGCTAATTCAAGAACAATAATGCACTTGACTTATTATAATCATTCCACTTCATGGCAAGACACTTGAAATGATCGTGAAGATCAGAGAATAGCTGTAACTCACAAAACAGACACACTAAAGGCTTCCTCCTGTCTCCCCGCCAGAAACCCTCAGTCACAAACTGTCATACACCCTGTCATAGGTATGACAGCCCTGTCCACATTAACACACAACATTGTTGTTTGGTTTCAACAGCATTCTGGTTACAACTAAGTCACTGAAAAGGAATGCTACACAGCTACGTAAACTCTGCCCAAACATACCACACAACATGTTTAGCAGCATCTACCTGTAAAAGCCTACCTGTTATTCCAACTTGCTATATAGGTTTTGTCCTCAGTAGTACTATATGGCTCTTTATGGTTAAGATTTAATCCTATTCTGGATTTTAAAAAAAAAAAAAGCAGCTATGGCTTCTTTTAACAATTCTTTTCATTTAGCCATTTTTTAGGATCTGTGAAAAATTGCAGGCTGAAACAACACTCATTCACACGTATGTTACTTGCACAGGCACACTTCAGAGAACGCATTTCTTTTTAAACAGAGTTCTCAAATACTCAGTATTACTTTCTGTCCTTTAAATTTTCCTGTATGACCTTCAAAATATTGAAGATGAAAGGCCAGTTCACAGATGGAGTTGGCAGCTGTGTACTGGCTGAAACTGAGATACCCCAAAAATACAGCAAGAGATATAAAAAAAAAAAATCTTGACTTTGTATCTGGAATGGGGAGAGATTAAAAGGCAGTGCTAACCATGAAAAGAAATACTGCTTATCATGACATGACCTCTGCAGGAGGGATTCTAACACATATCGGTGTTCTGAAAACCCACAAGTGGTCAAGCTACAGTAAGATATTAATGGGGAATGCTGGAAATGTATCACCCCAGAAGCACAGATGATTTCAGATTAGGTACAGGAACTGCAGAGATACTCAATTCACAAAGGAGAAGCCAAAAATATTTAAGTGATGTTTCACATCTATTTGCATAGCTAACATGTTACGGCTTTTAAATCAAGTTAAGCTTACTGATGCCATGTGAACCCATTCAAGAATCATCTGAACTTGTGAAAAACTGCTGATGCTTGAATCTGCTCTCTCTTCTGTCAGTAGAACTGACTCAAACTCACATGCTTAAAAATCAAATGAGATCACGCTAATTTGGTGCATTTTCTATAGATTTTCTATCTAGATACATCTTGCTCTAGTCTCAGACACTCCCATTTTAGTTTCCATAGGCTTCTCCACAGAAGCAGTTAAGAAAAAACATTAAAAATTACCTGCAAGGTCCCTTTGAAACATTCACTTAAGGCAATGTAGATTAAAACTTTTATTCTCTCATTTGTGTGTATGTTTACATAATGCTACAATAGATGCTGGTTAGCACAGGTTCCCTCTGAACTATATAGCACATTATACCAGCTAATACGCTGTTATATACATATCAACAGCAATTAAACTGTAAAACAACTGACATATCAAATGAAGGGGTATTACTGGGGATTCAAGTTCACTCACTAGCCCGCAAAATTCAAGCACTTTGGCACACCAAGGTTAGTTTCTCGTTTCTCCTCTGACTGTAGTTACACTATCCCGTTTTGGCTTTAGAACCGGTTTTGGCATGAAAAAACGCCCACTCTGCACTTCTTGCCCTACTTCTGTCTCCTTACTGTCCTTAACTGTAGGTCCCCGAGCAAACGACAAGATAAAAGGGAGTTATTCTTAACCACGACCAGCTCAACAATCCAGTTTGTAGCCTGGCTCCACAAAGAATTGCATACTGAGCACAGTAGTGGAAACAAAGATCTGGGAGAAAAGCTTCATTTGTCAAACACTGCATGCCTGAAGCACAAGGCCAACAAACACCTGAAACCAGCACCAACCAGCCAAGTTAAAGGAGAAGCAGATCCACCTTCTCCCAACAACAAGTACTCATTCCTGCCTGTGCACCACCCTCTCCTTCACAGGTGCCCGAGCACTCGCGCAGCTGCCAAGTCAACTGGAGAAGTGGAACTTAACCTACACTGGGTAAAAAACATAACCCAGCCAAAGAAAACCCATGATGTTTGACAGCTGCATCCAGCTTTCTGAAACACACCCTTCAGGGAGCTCTGCCAAGGAAAGGAAGGGAGCAGTACGAGGGCAGGAGCAAGGCAGGAAGCATTGCTTCTTCCTGCAGCCATGCCAGCTCAAAGTCCAGGCTTGGGATGAACTTCCAGGAGCTGGCCTGTTTTCTTGCATCAGCCCTGCCGCTCGGGCATTTGCACAATGAACCCAGCCCCAGGAGTGATCTGGTCACTGTGTCCCACAGCAAATTAGTTTTCAGCTGGATCACCTTCCTGAACCAGGTCACTGCGCCAGCACACAGGTGCCAGTACCTGCACAAGGGGACAAGACAGGCACTCAGGGGAGTAGAAAGTGTGGGACCGGGACAACCCTGGCAGCTCCCGTGCTGCAGAGCAACAGACTCAGCTGTGCTGCCGAACTGGCTTTACTCCCTCTGACTGTTTCAGCCTTCAAATCTGTCCCATCTTGACCCATGGTTTTAAATCCTTTCTAACTAAAAGTTAGTTTAGTTAATCTGCCTTTTACTAATAACTATTAAATGCTAAAGTATTACAAATACGTTGAAGGGCTAACCAACACACCTTTAATGTGCAGCTCCTCACAAGTTCTAAGTTACATGGCATTAATTTTTTAAATTACCAAGCAACAGAAAGAGTAGATGAAAGAGCTACTTTCTCGTTACGTCACGAATCTTTCATTTGAAATGTTTTTCTTCTGTTTTGAAGTATTTAAAGAAAGATAAAGCTCAGAGTAGACAAACAGGACTCCAGGTGACTTTAGGAAGTAATTAACTTGTTTCTCAAAGGCCTGTATATCCCCCAAGACATTGGCTACCACCATTTGCTTCCCAGAGATGACACCATCGGTACAAGCAGGATCTAGACCTTACTATCCCTTAGTATCCTCTCCTTTGCAGCTAACAGCAGCCCAGACCAATAGTCACTAATGCTCTGAACTCTAATTCATTTTTAGTGGTATCACGTACTTCCTATGTGATTTGAGGCGAACCACTTCGTTCCTCCTGTTCTCCAACCCTCACAACAGGGATAATGTGAATGCATCCATGAATAGCCAGGAGACCCTCGCATGCTTCAGCTCCTTTGCTATCTGCACAACCAGTGCTCAACACCCAAGCTGTTCCCACGTTGAACAGCAGTACTTCGCGCAACGCGCACCCAGCCGATACCCACACCGACTGCGGTGCAAAGCGCGAACAGAAGTATCGCACAGGAAGCCACAGAGAGCAAATGAGCGAGGAAGACGGCATCCTATTACCAGCCCACCACAATGAATCCACCACGCATTAAACCCCAACAGACGCCAAAGCCCCAAAGCCAGCACCCTGTCCCACCCGGCCCGCGCACACCGTGGTGACGCCCGCTCGGAGTCCACTGCTGGATCACGGAACGCGCTGCGGAGCCCACAGACCCGGCCCAGCAACAGCCCCTGCGAGTCCGCCCTCTCCTCAGCGGAGCCCCGCACCTGGAGGCCTTCGAAGCCTGGGGTTCAAAGCCTCGCAAGCCACCCAAGCAGCCGCCGCCGGCCCGGCAGGGCGCGCCCGGCCGTCCCCGGCGGCGG